AAACAAAATCTCGACAAAATCCCGACAAACAAAATCCCGACAACAAATCCCGACAAACAAAATCTCGACAAAATCCCGACAAAAATCCCGACAAACAAAATCCTGACAAACGGTCGGGATTTCGTTTGTCGGGATTTTGTTTTTCGGGATTTCGATTGTTGGGATTTTGTAACAAAAGTTACGTAATGTTCGTTACGAGACATTCAGCTTTCATACGAGTGGTCGATGATGTAATTATCTAAGGGGTTGTCGAGAAATTCACAGGGTTTTCGAGTTATTAAAGAAAATCCTTTTTTCCAATTTCTCCAGTAGTCTCATTGGGGTTGTCACATTTTTTTTGCTAATTTCTGCAGCTCTTAGCAGGCGACGATTGTGTGATCATGTGTGATTGTGTAGCGCCATCTATTAAATACTAAATCGAACAAAATGTTTGAAATAATTTTTATCAAATAGATACAAAAATATAAAATACTTGCTATAAATTAATATCAAAACTTATGTTTCTTTAAGTTAATCTATTAATATAGTTCTTCAAAATATATTTTTTTGATAAATCTATATCATTGCTAATCATAACCAACAAAAAAAAAACGTCCAGCGAAACAGAGATTTTTCCAAACGAAAATGGGTGATGATTATTCGAACGTTAGCATAGCTCCTTGCAAATACGAATGTGAGTAGAAATGTAGAAGAAATCGAATTGGAATTAATCAAATAATTCTTTCAGATTTAGACCACACGGCTGATGTGCAGCAAGTAACCCCAGAGAAAATAATTTAGCAAAAGTATTAACTGTAACTGAACTTTTAGATTGCATGCGTGGGGTGATAGCCTCAAGGAAGCATTCGAACAATGTGGGATGGCAATGTTTGGATACATGACTGAACTAGATTCTGTGGAAATCGAGGATGTTCATGAAATTGAAGCAACAGGGGATGATCTGGAGGGTCTGCTTTATCATTTCCTAGACGAGCTGCTTTTCCTGTTCAGCTGTGAGCCGAACATCATCTGCAAGAAGGTGGAAATCGTGACTTTCGATGTTGACGGCGCCGAGATGAAAATCAAGTGCAAATGCTATGGCGAAGAATTTCTTATAGGGAAACATCCGCAAGGCACCGAGGTCAAAGCCATTACGTATTCCGCTATGCAGATCATCGACGACGCCGACAAACACGAAGTTTATGTTATTATAGATATATGATAAATTTGTTTATTTGTTTATTATTATTTTACTCCCTTGCACATAACATTTTGCGTGTCGGCTCAAAGAGTTATAAGCATTCGCAAATTCAAAAATTTCCCTTCTTTTCTACATTCGCTTTTGGGGGATGTGCGACATCTGTGTTTATTTATTTCGTTACGAATGATAGGTTAAAGTCTGAAATGGGCTGGAAACAATAGCGCAAAGGGAAAACAAGTTTTGACGTCGAATGCAATTAAAAACAGTTGAATTTAATTTTTGTAAGAGGTATTCAAGGTGAGATGGAATCGAGGGGGGAGTCGGAATTGCAGCAATTAGTGTCGAGCGACGGTGACTGCGACAATGAAGACAGCATAGTGCAAGACGATATCACAGACACAACAATGACTGAGATCAAAGTGATCTCTCCTGTACGGAGCAACAAGGTTTGCCAATTGATGTAGCACAACTGTTTTCACTGTTTTCATTAACTCTATCAGGTTTCATCGTCTGGAAACACAAGTCACAGTTCAGCATCGAGAGGTGGTGGTGGTGGAGGAGGTGGACACAAGAGCATCAAGAAGAATAACCACAACAACAACAACACAAACACAACAAACTCCAGTATACTGTACGTGAACGAGAAGAGGACCAACAACAAAGAATCATCAGTGAAATCGAATACAGTTAGGCCAAGGAATCTGCACAAAGGTGAGTCCATTCAAATCTAATTAACACCCGATCCACCATATTTTCTGTAGTAATTTACACCTTCTTTTCTTGACAATTCATCGACGTATTCGGATTTTTCGTGGGTAAAGAGTTGTTTGTATGACAAGAGCAATAATAAATAATTTCCCATTTTTTCAGTTGTGTGTAGTAGTATTAAACGTTTTTATTTCTGCATGGAATTTAGATGCACGTAAAAAAAATATACACCACCATTCATTTTTATCTGAAGTTCCTGACGTTCGCCACATGGAGAGGGCTCTGCTCGGCCTCCTCGCGGATTTTCACTCGGGCAAGCTGAAGGCGTTCGCCAGCGGATGCACTATGGAGCAGATGACCAGTATTCGGGAGCAGCAGGAGAAACTGGCCAAGCTGCATTTCGATTTGGGTTCGGCCGTCAGCGAGCCCTCTTTGAGCGACGACAGTCTGAGGAAGTCGCACAGCACCATGGGACATTTGATTCAGAGATTGGAACAGTTGAGTGTTTGCATTGAGGGCCTACATACGAATGACAAATGATTAATTATATTTTTCTTCCTTCATCTCTTCTCCTACGTGTGTGTGTGTGTTTTGTTTTTTGTTAATTTATAATTTTTGCTTCTTTTTCTCTGTCTCCGATTCAGTTTTGTTTCCTAAAAAAAAAACAACAACAACAAATGAATATAAATACGACAACACTAACACTTGAATTTCTCACCTCCTCCATAACGGCTTTCCGCTGCGTTCTTTGCGCTCACGAAAGTCCTTTGCAGTTTGGTTTTCTTGGATTCCCTGTACTTAGCGGCAATATCTTTTGAAAGCTCTGCAACTCTCACCATTATCTCCTTCGGATAACTAAACATATACACAAGTTGTTTTATCAATAATTATATTATTTACATTGTTTTCTATATACTTACACACAGCCCAGCATCTCTATGTTTGTAAACGTTCTTGCCAGAGCGACCAAGTATTCCTCTGAGAATTGTCCCTTGTATGCAGTCATAAACTCCTTCCTGAGCTGCCAGTGCTGATCCGGCTCAGTTTCATCATAATACTGTTCAATGTCCCAATCCTTTGAATATTCCACAGCCATCGTTATTAACTGTTTCTTTACAATCTAAATTTATGTACACAAAATATAGCAAATAATTTGAGGTTATGCAGCAACGAACCAAGACTGACGATTTAATCTTGCTTCAACTTTCATTTCCTCTTCATCCAAATTCGTTACCAACCACAAAAAAAAAATTCTTTCAGTATACCAACTGTTACTAATTACAAATCACCAGACGGTATTATCTTTTTATCAATTTGTTTACTTAAAATCGTTGATCATTTATATATAGTTTATATATTGAATTTAAAAGAAACGAATTTTAATTTACGAATTGCTCAATTCGTATTATTTAAATTACCCTAAATTTAGAGAAAATAAATAATTTATATACTTTGTTTTAGAACTCTTTAAATTATCTGTACATGAATCATCTGTAAAAGACTGTTATTCTGTTTTGCTTTGATTTTTCTTAATTTATGTAACAATTTTTATTTAGTGTGGATTGGTTGGTTGCCTACAAAATTCAAGAGTTTTTGGGGGAAATTTAAAAACATTTTTAATAAATAAATAAATTTCGAAAAATATAAAATTTATGTAGAAATAATTTACAAAAAAAAAAAAACATTTATTTCAATTTACAAGTGATCGCAGGTAAAACAACGTAAGTATTTTCGTATTGAGCAATGGCTAAATTGTATACAATAAATAAACTACCCTTTTCTTTTTCTGTTGTTGTAATAATGAAATCTCGTTCTCAGTTCGGGTTTTGAAAATCGTAGGAGATTCGATTCTTCTTCTTCTTCCTCTTCTTCGGTGGGCGTCGAAGAGAGAGGGGTGTGAGACGGGGGGGGGACGAGGAACATACAAAAATATACACAATAATCGTTACAAACTAAATTATAAAGCACTTATTTTTAATGGCTGTTAACCATTCTTTCCTTGGGGGGGTTTGTGAGGAGAAGGAGGGCATGTTTATATTTATTCGTCCAAATAATGAATAATCTGAACATTATTCCGTCCGTTATTCTGTCTATCAAAATCCTTTTTACACAATTAAAAAACTAGAAAATGAAACATCTCTGGACTCGCGATTTTTAAGAAAATCAACAACAACATTTCTTTAAGAATCCGCGCAGTCGCATCTCCGAATTACATAAAAAATATATATATGTATATATATATCATATCGTGTCCTAAAAAATGTACAATTGTGTCACTAATTCATTCATTCATTCATTGTTCGTCTTCTCCTATTTTTTTCTTTTCTTTTATACTTCCAACACTATAACTAACACACTACGACAGAGTGCGTGTATCAGTTCATCGAATTGTCGCACTCCGCCTCCTTTTGAGATTCCAACACAGACACAGCCACAGCCACTTGATCGTTATTCGTGATTTCGCTCGACGAGCAATTAGTACTACTAGTATTAGAATTGAGGATGGTCGTAGCACCGGTACAATTCTGCTGGTTCGTCACCGAGTCCATATTGCTCACTATGTTTAATACTTCCAACGGTTGATCCACCCCGTCGATTATTATGTCCTCCGAAGTGTGCTCCCCATCTGAAACATTCAGAAAATTGAAGAACAATTGTAACAATTGAGGTACGAAGAGAGTAATTACTTTTGGATATAATCTTTCCGCCGATGGGAAGGACTTTGATGCCGGTCTTGGTGTTGAGCACCTGCACGGGCATGATCTTCTTGTTGGCGGTGGTCCGCATCGTGACGACCTTCTGCTTGACCGAATTCTGGATGTGTATGGCGGGGGCGGTCGTTGCGTTGCCGGAGACGATCTTCACCTTGTCCAGGTTCTTCATCGAGAAGTTCTTCAGCGGAAATGTGGAGAGCGTCCGTTGGATAATCGTGGAACTGGTCAGCGTCTGCGGCGTCGAGACGACAATCAACTTCTGACCCGAACTGGTCGTCACCGTTTTCGTCGGCGGAATAGGCTTCCGCGGCGTGCAAACCTTGAACGTCTTCTGCATCACCTCGTTCGCACCGCCTCCCGCCTTGATTGTCAATTGGTTCACTTTCGCGCTACCACTTGTACAACTACCACTACTACCACCACCACTACCAACACCAGCAGCAGCAACAGAACTTCCACTGATGTTGGGCGCGTTCACGTACACTTTGTTATGATGGTTAGGCACTGGTTTCGATTCGTCCTTCGCGTCCTCCGATGGTAGAGGTGCAGGAGCCGACCCACCGCACGACGGCTCCGGCCTCTGCTCTTCGACCGCACAACCACCGGTCGGTCCGTGAATGCTTATGTTCTGCAAGATGTTGATTTTAGGACTGATTTGCGACGATGCGCTGATTACCTTCGTCTGCATTTTCGCCATCGGCGATTGCATCATCACCTTCGGCATCTCACCATCCTGCGGTTTCATCTTAATCACCTGCTCTTTTTGTCTAGTTTTACTCTTTTGCCTATAAACAGAAAAAAAAATACAATATAATAAAATATAATACAATGATTTTTAATATTGTTCAAGAGAAAAACAATGTGATGTTTTTAATTCTATACTGATTAAAATATTTACCTTATTCCTGTACTATAATAAAAATCACATTACTGTGCATGCTAATAGAATAATTATTTGAATGCAGTAGGTCAAATATGAAATACAGTAATTTTAAAATTGTTTCACTATTGATTAATGCTAATTTACACCAGAACAAAATTTCAAATCTACATACTTCAACAAGCTTGTATAATCTATAAATTAACTGACTAAATCAAATCTAACTTTTTTTTTCATATATGAATCATTAATTGCAATTAAAATACATTTTCAGAACTATAGTAATATTGTTAGATGCTAATAGAATACTACATGAAAATAGGATTTCAAAAGAAATAAATTGTATTAAATTGCGTAATTCTGCTTGCATTACACTATTTATATTATGTTTCAAAGAGTTTTACATTGATTTAGAGGCTGTTAAAATATTCAAGAGAGGGGTATATTTGAACTACTTTTGTCCAGTCTACTAACCTAAGTAATTGAGATAATGATAATTAGTGAATTATTTTTTTAAAAGACCATTTTTGATGCATTGGAAACAGTTATAGTAATTTCAAGGGAAATATACATTAGCCTGAAAACTGGTAAACCTCTAGTAAAAAGTCAACTCAAATCTAATAGGTACACTAACTAACTACAAATTCATACCTATAAATTTGTTGTATTTTGCTAATTTTGGGGGGACCCATCATGTTGTTGTTGTCAACGCTGAGCGATAATTTCCTCTTCTTGATCTCCGGTTCGCTCAGCCTGAATTGCATATTCTTTCCCGTTCCGTCTGAGGTGCTAGCATTGATGTGGGTGGGCGAAATCGGAGGGGGCCTTTTCCTCTCGGTGCACGAGGGCGAAGGCAGTTGCTTATTAATCTTGCTTGCAGTATCCGCAACTTCGTCCGCAATAGCCGAGTACGCTGTTTGCGGTGCGATCCTCGCCATAAGCGGTATCAGCCTTTGCCCCTCCTCGGCCCATTCATCGTTCGAATGTTTCTCGCCGTTGACGCTGAAGAGAAGAGAACACAATTTTAAAGAAAATTGCAACAGAATGAAGCGTTCACTTACTGGTAGGCAATGGTGCACAGCTTCTCATCATTGACAACCCTCCTGACCTCAGCCTTGTGTCTCTCCTGGGAGATGTGCAGGATGCTGCCAGTCTCCTTCAGTATCTTTAGCTTTTCACTGTCTAATGCACCCTGCGCTCGCAGGGCGCTCACCAACCCGCTGAACGCGTCAATCTCTGCAAAGAGGAGAAGAAAACCATATTAGAGGTGCTCAAATTGGATGCACACAAAAGCAGCCACACGACTAACAAACAGCACTGTTTGTGTGTGTGAGCTTGTGTTTTCTATCGGTCAGAGGATAACATACCTAGGCATCTTAGGTGTTGCATCGATTCCTCTTTAGTCATGTCCAACAGGATGGGCCACATTATTGTGAATCTCCGTCGCACATATCCACAGTTTTTGACAAGAGCAGAGAGAGCGGAGTTATATAGCGTCTATTGTTGGTTAGGTTAGGTCAGCTCAATCTCTTCTCAGGCTGTGGTGCCCCCATGGTGCCGGCTCTTCGCCACGCATACTACGATCCGATCCGAATGTGTCTCACCGGTCCAAAGGGGCCGCATTCTATCCCCGATTTTCGAATCCCACCGACACTCGCATATACAAAATAACTTTTGACAACTTGTTTTAAGCGGTAACAACTGCAGCCAACTCAAATCGAAAAGACGGCGATCTCCTGCGGGTTAAAAGAAAACTCTTCGTAGATGAGATCGTACCGCAGCATCACATTAGAGGCGAACCCTTCGCCCTCCCGTCCAAGCCCCCCACAAACGTAAGCGCTTCAAATAAATAACTTTCACTTTCGTTCCGGTAGTTCGAACGATGCTGCACTTTCGAACTACCAAACGAAAACTTTTTTAAACTATCAATCATGCGCCTAGCTTCAACCCGATGTTGGGCACCTCTGGTGTCGCGCGCTCCAAAACAATTCGAAATTCGCAATCAAAATTTTTAACGTCTCACAATCATATCAGTACGTAAATTATTACATTTTTATACGTCATAAAAACACGTGCGTATACTTTCAATTACAAGTTAAGAAATGTTGCAGAGCTTACCTTACTATAAAATCGATCACTTGATATTTCAATTTACATTCATATCACACCGAAGATTAAAAGATGTTTTAAAATATCATTGCATTCTCGCACTTGTCAACAAATTACAAATGTTTCTTTGTTTTTTTTTTATTATTAATTAACGATTATTACGTTGGTAATTTGCGTTGCAACTCGCATTAGACAAATGACAACTAATGTTGCCAATATACATTCTTTAAATTTACTACTGTACATTTTGCCAACCTGAAATCATAGTTATTTTTGCAGTATTGGTTTAAATTAGAATATTCGTAGGATTAATTACCACACGTAGTTAAGGAGTAATAAAATATTTGCAATTTCAACTCTCAATTTTATTACTCAACATTTAACATAATCTTTAAATTGTATATTCGTTGACTTGGTTAGCGTTTGTGGTTATCTAGTAATTAGCAATTTTTTGAGGCTTAAAATAAAATTTAAATATTTATTAAATGCAACAAAATAATATAATGGAAATAATAATATATAAATATATTATAGATATATATTGTATATAAAAAATAAGCATCTTAGAATTAAAATACGCAGTTTCTTTTTTCAATACTTTCTCAATTTGCGAATTGTGGTGTTCACTTGGTGACGGTGTGCATAGCTTTAGCAAGGTATTCAACGTTCTTCGACGTTACTCCGGCCATGGAGATGCGACCATCCTTGGTCAGGTAGATGCTGAAGTCCTTCGTGAGTTTTCCAACCTGAGAAGCAACAAATTAGTGTTTTGCAAAGTTGATTAATCAAAGCAAAGAAGTTACCTGTTCCGGTGTCATTCCGGTGTAGCAGAACATGCCGATTTGATCGGTGATGTGCTCCCAATTTCTGGTGGAACCCTCCTTCTTCAGATTCTCCTTAAGAGCGAAACGAACGGAAATGATCCTGTCGGCCATTCCCTTCACCTCGGTCATCCTGAAACACGCAAATATTTACTATTAGTTTTATAATACAATTTTTACTTTTATAAAACACAACCATTGAGCTTTAAGGTTGGCGTCTGTTAAGATCTCCGTGGCGATCCTGGCACCGTTGATCGGTGGATTCGAGTACATGGCTCTGATGAGGATCTTCACCTGCGACATGATCTTGCTCGCAGATTCTTTGTCGGTGGTGATCAGGGAGAACGTGCCCGCTCTTTCACCGTACAATCCCATGTTCTTGGCGAAGCTCTGCGACAGGGCCATCTCGTGTCCGTCCTTCAAGAAGATGCGAACGGCGTTGGCGTCCTTATCGAAGTTTCCAGAAGCGAAACCTTGGTAGGCCATATCGAAATAGGGGAAGAGATTCCTCTTCTTCATCAACTGCGACATTTCAGCCCACTGCTCCGGATTCGGATCCACACCTGTAGGATTGTGAGCGCACGCATGTAACAGTATGATGCTCTTCTCTGGAATGTTCTGCAATTTAAACGAAATAAATACACAAGTGTTGAAGGAGAACAAACGGAATCTTACGTTGATATCGTTGAGGGCGCCTTGGAAGTCGAATCCGCAAGTCTTCGGGTCGTAGAACTTGTAATGTTTGACATCGAGACCGGAATGCTTGAAGAGCGGAATATGGTTGCCCCAGGTCGGTGTAGGCAGGTAGACGACTTTGTTTCCGGGAAAGAAGTTGTTGAGGAAGGCACCGCCTATCCTCAACGATCCAGTTCCGGAGATGGTCTGCGATGTAGCGTTGCAACCGTTGGCGACGTGCTGAGAGTCCTCGCCAAGAGCCAAAAGGATTGATTGCTTGCAGAATTCCGCCGTGCCGGAGATCGGTGCGTACTCTTTGTCCATGTTCTTCGACTTTATTATCTCCTCGGCCTTACGGACTGTGGGTAAAACGTAAGGTTTTCCATTGTCGTCCCTGTAAGCTCCGACACCCAAATTGATCTTGTTCGGATTGGAGTCCTTCTTGTAAGCTTCGGTGATCCCAAGGATCGCATCTGGAGGTCCCATCTGCACATTAGACCACCAAGAACTAAAATGAAAATTTAAGTAAAATTATCGTACTCAAAGAAAATCAAACTTTCCAATTAGATTTGCTTCAAAGTTCAAAAGAACGTGGTAGGCAACTTTAATTACATATTATTATTATTCCATTATCTACGAGATGATACCGATGATTTTGAATAAACCCTCTACTAATTGAATATACTTGATAACTTACAAATAAATTCGAGACTATCAAACACGAAACGTAGACGCATTGATCCAATTCTATAATAGGCAACTCAAATAGCATAATTACACTGCGACATTATTTAATTACAACACTTTTAATAAATCAATTTGCATGAGAATGCTACAAAAGTGCTATAAATCAAAAATACAAAGACGGTAATTTATTATTTTTGTTTTGTTTATGAAAAGAGTATGTAACTTTAATTACATATTTTTTGACAAAAATATTTTTATCTTACTTTCGAGTCGTAAGATATTATTTATTTGCACAGTTAATATGATAATGCGACTTCGTTATTAATTCAAATTACTTGATAATTAGAATCTAAAATAATGAATGCAAAAAAAAAATAATCATGAAGTTGCAAATTATTGCGTTGCTTGTATTTATAATTATTTAGAAACTATTATCTAAGAAAGGCTAAAATTTTTTTTGAAGATCTTTAATTTAATTTTGAAGATTGTACATATTTGATTAAGATTAGATTGATATTGGCAAAAACAAAACTAATCAATGCAGCATTAAAAAAAAAGCGATCAAGCTATCGTCAAGATAATTTGAACTTCTCGTTATAATTGATTGATTGAATTCCTCCGATGCACGATTTCGTTGCACACGAAAAACATGCGAAATTCTATGAAAAAATGCAGGAAAAAAAAAAGTACGTAAGGTGTATATAACCTAAACTCTCACCTGGCTCTTTGGAGGGATCCTCCATTCTTGTTTAGGGCGAAAAGCAGGGACGTTTTCAATGCCATTCTGTATCAAGTTTTTCTGACGAAATGCCGATGGAAATTGAGTGTTTTTTTTTTTGAGCAAGAGTGACCGGGTCCTGGACCAATTGGATTGACCTTAACCGCGCGGCGTGCACCAATCGAGTGACGACATCGTCGGTATTACAACCAATCAAATGGCGCCACTAGCGGAGGGGATTGGTGGGGATCCTTTGAAGGCATCGGATATGAATGTGTTTGTGTGTGTGGAAAGTTTCTTATCTATAATTAAAATTTTTATTTAAACTTATTATCGGCGCGCTATTTTCGTTTCTTGTATATCAAATATCGATGAGAAACTTAACACTAAGAGGAAAAAATTAATTTATAATTGAAAATCTCAATGATCGATGCTTTAAAACTCGCTGCTGCTGCTTTCGCTGGACGTATTCAAGCATATTACACTATCTGTATCTGAGCTGTACATCGAAGAAGACCTGTCGGTAGATTCGTCTCTACGTTTCTCTGTCAACTGCTGCTTCCTGAGTGCCTCATATTTCTTGTTCAACTCGCTCAATGCGCAGTTGTATTCGTTTATCCTGAAGACATAACAATTATATATGTATTAAATACACTTCTTGAGAATTCAATAAATACAAACATTTAAGATTTGTAATTAAGATGGGAATATGGGAAAGTAGAAAAATAATGACTTACTCTTTGTCGTGTTCGCTTTTGATCTCTGCAATCATACGTTCGAACTCATTGATAAGCTGTCTGCGTACCATGCGTTCCCCGACCTCGATCTCGTCCTGCAGGATTTTGTACTCCTCCAGGAGGCGAGAGTTCATCTCGTTCAGTCTTGAAATCTCCTCTTTCATATCCGTGTGGTCGCAATAAACGCAATCATCTGTCGCATCATGGAATTCCGAAATATTGCTGCTGCTGCTCCTCCTTCCTCCGACGATCGACGGCTTCCGCATCACGACGATGTCCTTGGCGATCGCCGAGAAATTAAAGACGTGCAGATTCTCGTTAAAGTACTCCTTCACCGGATTGACGTTGACGATCATCGCGAGGTCCTCGTACCCCAAAAGCGCGCGCTGCAACAGTTGCGTCAGCTTCGATTCCCTGAACGGAATCGGCTTGACGCTCTTCGAGATCCTCACTTTCCTCAGCACCTCCAGACACCGTCCCAATACCATCAGCGAGGTGTTGATGTTGTTCGCCTCCTTCAGCCGTTTTCCTGCGTTCTGCGTGTTCCTGACCCTCTCCGTTCCAGCCAGATCGCAAAAGTTGAACACGCACTGCCTCTGGGCGTGAACCAGCGTTATGGAGAAGATGCAGTGCGATCGGCTCGAATGGGAATTCACTGATGTCGAGGCGTACTGCAGCTTTGTCATGCCGTATTGGAAGACTTGGAAAGCGTGATGGGCGGTCGGCACGTACACGTTCTTCAGGTTCTGAACGTAAGCAACACCGTTGTTGTTAATCAATTTCAGCTTTTGCCGCGTCTTCGATTTGTGCTCTTTCAGATCAAGCAGATCGTAGATGTTCTCGTTGTAGATTTCGGCGAACGAAACCCAAACGCCCGGCGCTAAATCGTCCGGTACTTTGATACTTTCCTCTTCGCACGTCATCTCATTTAACATCATCCTAAACACAATAATAATAATGTTAATAATTCAGCTTAATTTTAATAAGCAAACTAACTTGAAAGTCTTAGCGTCTGCGTTCTTTGCTATGATCTCGTTCAAGACTTTACCATCCTCCAAGTTTGCAGGCTTCAATCCGGTCTTGGACAACTTGAAGCTTGGTTTCATCGGCAATTCCGGTAGAGTTTTGAACAGAAAGTTCAAACTTCGCGGGATTATCCCCGGCGCTTTCACTTTTCCCATCACCGTGTACGTTTTCCCTACAATATTAATATATTATTAATTAATTAGTATTAATTGTTCAATTACTACCGGCTCCCGAAGTTCCATAACACAGGACAGTCGCGCTTTGCCCCTGGATGAAGTTCCAAAGGCGCTGTCTCACTACGGAATCAAAGATCTCCTCTTGCTTCGTCTCCGGTGGAAATATGTGCGTGAACATGAATTGCTTGTCCAGACTGTCCGAATAATCGAAATCCCTGCACGTAATCACGTCCTCCTCGATCTCATACATGTTGCACACCTGCTCATTTTTTACACGCAAAAACACGTCCATCTGATTCTCTTCAATCTACAAGTCTCACACATCAAAATGATTTAACTCTAAACTAATTGAATTTAAGTCAACTTACATCGTCTTCATATGTTCTGTCCATAATTAAAACTTACTTATTTACACTTAATGCTTTCCACAAACACAATTATTCCAAATACATAAAAAAAAACTTATTTTATTGAGAAATACCAATAACTTTTCGAATTGATTCGAAAAATTTAAATTCCCTAGATCCTCTCAATAATTTTTGTAATTCCCGCTGATGCGCGCATCGACTGTTTGTATTGAATTGTTGCTGGGCGACGGTAAATAGTTTTCCTTCGGCTCAAAATTTCGTTGTCGATTTTTGAAAAGTGCTTCTACAACATTTCACGATGGTCGAGTGTTTCGGTGAGTTTCATCCTATTATTTAACGTAAGTGTGTGTGTTATTAAATTGTAATTCGTAGAAGACATAAATTTCTCCGATCTGAGCGTGGACGATAAGGACAAACAGTTCCACTCTGTTGTGGGTCACATCGAGGACATCCTGATGGAGGACGAGTTCGTCGCGATGCACAATGCGTTCATGGAGAAACATTGGACCGAATTCGAGGATACGGAGGAGAACAAGTTCATCTACACGGACATCTTCAGGGAGTACGGCCGCACCATCGAGAAGTATATAGAAGAGGAGTTGAACGATCGCGTACCGAACTTCAATATGATTCAATTTGAAAACGAATTGAAGTGAGTGTAGTGCAGGTAATTGATAGTTGTTATTGTTAATAATTAAACAATTTAAGATTGCGACAACACGATTTGGATGGAGAGATCTTCGAGATGCTGGCGACTTTTAGCGATTTTTGCGCGTTCAAAATGATGTTCCTCGACTACAAAAATGTGAGTTTGCGCATGGAATGTTACAAAAATATAATTCAATCGTTTTGTTTGTTCATGATTTGGCTGAAGATGAAGGAGGGGAGGACTGTGGATTTTTCACTGGACCTGAGTGTGTCGAAATACGTTGTAAATCCTTTTTAATCGCTTGCATAAAAAAATTTATATAACGAGTAACGAGTCTCGTGCGAACACACGACAGCAGCATAATAATTATAATAATATTAATCGTAATAATATAACCTAAACAGACGTAAATCAATCAATCAATGCATCAGAATCTCCATCTGCACTAGTCTGCTGTTCGTGTCTCCGGGCATTCGATATGGCAGCATCCCGGTGAAGTTGGTGAGAACCTTGGCTTGCTCTCTAATCACCACCAATTGCTGAAATTAAAAGAAATAGTTTTAAAGTCATTCGCACTTTACACGTGTCGATGTGTAGAAATAGAGACGAACCTTTTCGATAGAGAAATCCGAGAACCTATTGGGCACGTATTCGTTGTCTTTGATCTTCTGGTATTGCGAGAAGTAAATGTTCATCGTGGCCAACAAAATGTCGGGCATGATCTTGCATACGTCAACGTTGACGCACTTAAAGCTGTTCACCCTCTCGTCCAATTCCGACGCTTGCATGGGAATCAGTTTGATATCGCTTAAGCACTAAAAACAATAAATAAATAAAATCAGTTGCAAGTAGTAAATTCAATTTGAAATGCAAAACGCACCTTCAACGCGTGGCTGTAGTTCTTGCTGTGGTAATGCTCGAAGAAGATGAACAGATCTTTGAGGTTGCAGAAGGCGTTCGCCAGATTCGCGGAACAGCTGAAGCCTCCGTTGGAATACCGATCGTAGATCTCGCGGACTTTGGAGAAGAGTCGATTGCGCATAGAACCTTCGCTCGCTGGTAAAGTCACGACCTGCGAGAGCAGCGTGTTCAGAAGAGTCAGAACTTCAGTTTGATTCTGCAAAAAAAAAAAAATATAAATAAAGAACAATATGTTAATAAATGTATTTTTGCAACAACTTACGCATGCGATGTCGTACAACTCGACGGCCTCCTCGAAGGAACCTTTTATGACCAACTGCTTGGCAACATCCATGGCTATTTTCTCGACTGTGATCTCGTTGTGCTTGAACTCGTCCAAAGCCCCTTTAGTCCTGATACCGTTCCTCTGTATTTTCCCGAATATCCTCTCGTATTCCCTAGTCTCTTGCGCCAAATCCCCGACGCACACCACGTACATATTCTGATTGTCGCCGTTCATTATGTTGTGCAGAAGGTAAAAGTAGTTGACGGCTTCCTCGATGCAGTGGATCTCGAATTTGCGCACGTACACCAAGATCAGTCGGACGATGTTCAATCGTCTCGCCGGTTTCGGATCGGAGGGATCCATGAATACTGAAACACAATATGTAATCTCGATTAGTTCTAAATACTATTATTATTGCAATAAGATGATCTTACTTAAAGGACTGGAATAATCGCTGGGTCCAGCCAAGATGTAAAGCTCGTTCAAGGCGATGGCCATGTGTACCGCATGCACTTTATATCTTTCGATTCGCGATAGGAACTCGATGGCTGCTTCGAATTGTCCAGTCAACGCAAGCACCTGGAAGTACAGGTGAGGCTGATGCATCGCATCGTAGTGGCTCTCTCCGTACTCCTCGATTATAGTCCTTTGGAAGTCGAAATAATCGATGTGGTCTTCTTTGGCGTAATCCACTCGGACCAAACACAGCTTCAGCCACAGCCAATCGTCGGCAGTGCGCGCGACTTCGCTGTGTTCATCGACGATATCGCAACAGCCGAGCACGGCCCAGACGATCCTCTTGAATGGATCGGTTTCGTTGCGCACCAATCGCCTGTATTGGTATCTGACAGCCTCTTCTAGTTTCTGGATGTCCGGGTGTTTGGGATTCGAGTATTTTGCTCTGAGAATGGCCACGAGTTCGGGGAAACGCTGCGTCGAACTGCTCTTCTCCAAGCACTCCAAGGCGGCGGAAATATCGCCGCTTCTCAGGCAATAATAAACCATGGGCCACAGCGGACGATCCTCCACATCTCCGTCCACCAGACCGACGTAACCGCCTTGCAACCTGATCCCCAGGTAACTCTTGACCAGAGGATAAGTGCCTGGGATTCCACCGCGCTGAGCGATCATCAAATTTTCGTTGATAACATTCGACATGTACGTCTTGTATCTGTAATGCAACTCACAAATTAAGACTTTCTATTAATACATAATCACAGCGCAACGTACCTAGTCTCAAGGTATTTCTTAGCGTGATGCACCAAATCCATGATGACTAGTTTACTTTTCCTCGCAGAGATCGCGTCTTCCGTAGAGCAGATAGGCTGAATTTCGGTCATAAACTTGATAATTTCCCACATATCATTAACTTTCTGTAACGCAAAATCATTATTGTATGCCTACAATATATTAATATAATATACATACTGTGTCTTTGAATTCTTCAGCTGCTTTTGCAAAGTACGAGACTAAATCGATCTTGGGATCGCCACGCAAAGAACGTTTGTTCAATTCGATGATCTTTGCGGCATAAACGGCCTCTTGATATGTCATATGCATCGACCCGACAATCGGGGATTCCATGAACATGCTCTCCTTCTTCAAAGGATCAATGAAATTCCCGGACGGTCCGGTCATCGCATTCAAGATCTTCCTCTTCTCCTGCTTCCATTCACCACTTTCATGTTCCCAAGTTTGCTCCATAATACTTTTGTAGCACTACAAATTGCAAAATAATAATAATAACGCTTTCAAATACGTTTCAATCAAATTAATACCAGTCGTTTCTCCTCATCAATGATCCCCATAATGCAATTCCTGATTTCATTTTCGAGACACGAATCCAGATCGACATCATCTATGGGATCAATTGTTTCGATGGTCCTCTGCGAGCTGATCAAATCCAATTTCTGGGAAATCCTTGGCAAATCAATACCTTTCGATCCCAGCAGCAAATTACTAAAATGATATATTAGCTTACAAATTTAAGAATAAAAAAAAACAATTCTTACGCTTGGATATCTTTGGAGCCAGTGTGTGCTACACGTGTGTACAGCTCATTGGAGGCCTCCAACACCTGACGCAGGGATCTGTCAACTTTAGGTAGTTCTGTGGGACCCTCTATGTCATGTGTTAATTTCTCCGCCTCGAAAAGCAGATCAGAGAAGTCTGATGCCATCCTGTATGTCTATGTAAACAGAATAAGGTTATGTACAAAAAAAAAATACAATATTACAAGTGTAAATAGAAGATTAAACGTTATATCGTATTGACAATACTTTTCCTACACTGAAAATCACGAACCTACCTAATTTCTGTATATAAATAATAGGGAATTACTTGAAATTGATACACTTTTAAGAGAACCGAAAACACGCCGAGAAACGAAACTAAATTTGACAGCAAAACATTTGAAGAGTAATAGTTTTGACAGTTATTTTGGGCGCCAATGTAATCGCAGTAGTGACAGTAGTTCAAATCAATCAAGAGACAGGCGGGAAAACTTTTTAAACTTTATTTTATCATTTAAAAATGGAAATTAGTTATTGGATTTATATTTTCTAATAAATTAATAAACATTCATGGCTATGGTCGACTGTATCACGAAAATCTGATACGAAAGGACGTTGGTTCGATTCCCAAAAAAAACAACAAAAATTTGTGGTGACTGTTAAACCTGAAAGGGGTAGAAATAGGACCCTTTTCGGGTTTATCAACTTTTTCGTATCGGAAACGGCTACGGTCGTCCTTGATACTAATCAGTACTAATTGTTGATCAAAATATTACTAATAGTTTCACAAGAGAATAAGTTATAGACATTTGATAGGTGATTCCATTGGTAACAATATTATTGTTGATCTATCCATTTTCGAACTTCGAACTTTGGCTTCCCAAGAAATTTTCGAACTAAAATAATTTGTTTATATTTGTTAGCTGATTGCATTTCTAACTATATTTTGTTGACCAATCAATAGATTACCAAGATATTTGGAATTGAATTTCTTGACTTCCTATACGATTCCACTGGTATTAATTTTCGATATTATTCATATCAAAATTGAATGTAATTATCAACCGTAACTTGCTATAAAAATACGACGTTAATTGTAGATTGTGCAAAGGCACAGGGACAGTTCGTCCCACGTTATTTACACTGGTTTTATCGATAAAACCGAATAGCGTGGGCGACTTCAATTATGAAAAGTCAGTTGCCGGTGTATTGCGGGACGGGGCGAACGTGTGCTTCGTCGTCGTCGTCGTCGTTTACTGAAAAAGCAGCTTTGCAGAAGGGATTATTTGATGATGGAAAGGGTTTCTGTGCTGGCGACGGCCGTTCGGATCCGCTGCCCTTCTTGCCGTGCACGAAACTAGGTCAAAAACGATCGATACTATTCCGATGCGAGTAGGAAATGTGAAGAACGGGAATGCCGTCACAGCAGAAGCAGAAGGGAGGACATCAAATATGCATGAATGTTATAGAATGAGGAAGCAGTGAGAGTTTCGTGGAATATGAGCGGTAAAAACGGACCGAAAAGGACGTCCGGAATCGGTGAGTATACGTTTCTATGTAGGAATATTGATCACTTTTATTTTAATCAAAACTGAACAATGTTACCAAACAACTGCGAAGTGAAACTTGTCGATTGGAAACATTTTTATGAACTCGAAGATTAAGTTGACGATAAATTTGTTGTAGCAGAATGAATTTAGTCGAAGAGGAAAAGAAAAAGGCGGTAAATTTCGGCGGAGCGTGTATATAAAATATTTATAGATAAATCGTTTATGTTTTGGCGTTGCGGTTGGCCAAGATAAATGATGCCCAACGTTACAGAGGCGGGGAACGAGAGAAGATAATTTACTGAATTATTGACCTATCGATTCCGTGATTCAAATGGAATTGGATTTCGTGTTGGTAGTATTGAATTGGAGCCATTCAAATGTATTTGAAAATTGCATTTGAAGATTAAATATTTTACTAAATTTCAACAGCTTGTTGTAAGAGAATGATAAACGTCACAAATTCGGCTATAAGCTCATTGGAAAGGTCAAAGTTTTATCTTTGATACACATCTTTCATATTTTAGTTGGTTTTTGTATTTATGGAGTAATTAGATAAAATGTGGAAACATCTAAAATAAAAACGAAATATTTCAGATTTATTGACCAATCAAAGTCAAGAGTATTAAACAATTAAGTAATAGTATTTTTTCTTATATATATTCGAGTATATTATAAGAGAATTGAGTTAAAACTTCTGGTTTCGAAATGGAAATTTGAAAACTGTCAGTGTCAAATTTGTTGTGAAGTTTTGAACGAAATAATTCGTTTCGTTCGATGAGGGTGATTCCGACGGTCATGGATATGAGCAAGTCCGGTCACCGTCTGGTGACGGTGAACTTCGAGATCTTCGGGAAGGTGCAGGGCGTGTACTTTCGCAAGTGCACGGCGAAGCAGGCGAGAACGTTGGGTCTGAAGGGTTATTGCATGAACACGGATCGCGGAACGGTGCAGGGAACGATACAGGGCGCCGACAATCGCGTCGCCGAGATGAAGAACTGGCTGAAGGAGGTCGGATCTCCGGCGTCGCGCATCGACAAGGCCGTCTTCAGCAGCGAGCAGGAGATCAGCAAACTGCAGTCGGGCAGCTTCACGATCAGGCAGTAGTAAATATGAACTGTGATTGGAAAATACACAATAATTCTTCCTGTACGCATTCTTTTTTTTGTTGTTTTTGTTTTCTGGATTGGGGTGTGTTTTCTGTTGAGGGGGTGGGAGGTGGATGATGTCCTGCGCTTCCGTTCCGCTCCATGTAGTCATGGCAACGGCGGGAGCGCTTTCGGAGATGTCGGGACTCCCGAGGTTTTCAGTAGTGGTCGACGGGCAGCAGAGTGCACACACAAACACACTAAGTTTTATATAATAAAATATACACACTTGTCCGTCCCGCATATACATATGTATACAACAACAAAAAAAAACAGGTTTTCTTCTTGGTGTCTCTCTTCAGGTGTAGTAGTCTCGCGGTGGTAAAGAAGAGCACGTGAAAGAAGAAAGCTCGAACAGCGCGCGCGTTCCTCCTCTTCGGCTCCTATTAGAAAAGAGGCGCGAGATTCCAGCGTGAAATGAATGGAGGAGGAACATCGTGCGACTGAAGGAAGAGAGGAGAAAGCATGATTTGAATTGAATTGTTGAGAGAGTTAAAAAAGTAAGGAAAATCGTTGGTGGTGGTGTCATGATCGGTGACAAAGTGATGGTGAAGTTCGGGAAGAAGGAGCGGCAGGACAGGAGAGAGCTGTTGGCTAGTACCAAAGACATGGAGGATGGAGATGATAAGCACAATGATAATGGTACGACGATGATGATGATCATATTTTCCCTCGAAGAGAAAGTTTGAAAAGAATCCTCTTTCATTCAATATTACATATAGAAAGTATCTCTTAATTTAGTCCATTATTTGGACTAAAAACATCCTCAATTATCCTTGAATTCAGTTAACTGCATAATCGATTCCATATTATTATTACCCTCATGCAATTTCAAATTACATTTACATAAACGCAACTCATTTTCATTAGTGAAACTTGTTATTTAATTATATTCGAATAACAACAAATTTGTATAATATTTATTAATAGAAATAATTAGAAAGTTATATTACTTCTCAAGAGAATACTTTATAGTTGTATCAAAACATTGAAAAAGTTTTTGACTTGTTACAACAAATAACATTCGTTTTGTTAATGTGTAATTTTGGTGCCTTTCATATATAAAATATTGAAAAAGTATTTGAGTTATCACGAAAAAAACGCAATATTTCTCTCAAAAATGAAAATTACGAAACGAAAATTACTGAAACACATGCGTAATTTAGATGCGCTTCATATACAAAATTAATATATAGAAAAAGTTTTACAGTTTTCGTGTTATTTATAAAAGTTATTTAAACATTATTTGAAATAGGGTTAAGTTAATTTAGGTTAGATTAAACGATTGCAAACTGGTTATTTTTTTGTTTTTTTTTTTATTGTTTTCGAATGCGTTTTATGTTAGGTCGAGTGCGGGATTCTATTTTCAAGCGTCGGTCGTTACAAAATTATATAAAAGAAAAAAAAACCAAGAATCGTAAAAGAAGTTTTATTCGAGTTGAAGTCGAAAACTTATTGGATTCAGTCCAGAAATATTTTTTGTTTTAATTTATTTATTAACGAATGCACACAATTTTAATTAATATAAAATTACAATTAAATAAATGTAAATTTTGCTTATTTATTTTTATGATGAACAGTCGATAATTGTTGGAAAGGATGAGCGTGAATCAAAGGCTTGTAAGAATTTGAAGGCACTTACTTTCCAGGCGAAGAATGTGGGAATACCGAAGAGTGCCGGAGCTATTGATTACGCGTAGAGAATATAAATGTACTTAGCTGTAACGCTATCAGCGCGAAACGTAAGTGGAATGGTTGAGGAGAATAGAGAAGACCAGGAGGAAAGTGAAGAACACAGAAAAGGCTCTTCCATATTTATAGTACAAGAAAATACGAGAGGAAGAAATAATGACTTGATTTTCCCCACTTTTCAAAGAGTTTGGAACTCGGAAGTCCGATTGCGTAAATGCGTTGTATACTGTTATAATTTTTTTTTTGTTCTGGAATAAATAATTCCCATCGAGATCAATCATCTCGCTGCGGAGTGGCGATGCTCGCGGCGCGCAGTATATTTTAGGCCCGACCAGTGTTTACGAAATCGCCGGAACGGGTGAACATAAATCGCCGAAAAAATCTGTACAGAGATTCGCAGCCGTATTTCTGATCCCGCTTCTGCTTCGCCACCACCTACTACAACACACGCATATCTCTTCTGTTTTTTTGCAGCCGCCTTTCAACGGGTCAGAGAGAACATCGAGGATCTCGACTGCAGTTCATCGGGAATCGACGAAACCGATCTGGTGTTCCTCAAAGGCCTCATGGACAGTCCAGTCTTCCAGAACCTTGTCAAGGTAAAACCATTGTAACACATACAAACTGAATCTAAGTCTAAGCAGTAAGTGTGCAAAAGTGGGAATGAACGTGCATTAGCAGATGATGATAATAATAAAGTAGGATTTGCGAGCGGGGGGAATGAACAGGTTTATTGATTCTGGATGCGCGCCAACCCTTCCGCTCGTTGATGTAATTAACGAACGCGTGTTTTGGACAAAATTTTGTTCCTCTTTCTTTTGTTAGTTAAACTAGGTTTAACGATGAATCTAGAGTACGAAAATATTATCTGAGGAGAAAGCTTCAAATAGACAATGCGAAAAGATAATCGTGCGTGAAAACGGGATTTTACATCATTTTCATGGATAAAACTCGTCGTAGGTTCGTTTTACAACTGTATTTGTTGAAATTTAAATGATACTATCAAGACGCCATCTGTGAACACAAATATTTAATCATTTATTTCCACTTAAAAAAAATACACAATAAATATGAATTCATATAGTTTTTTTTATTAATAATTATGACTGATTGACTGATTTTCATTAATTGTTTTGAGTTTTGAAACTTATATCGTATCGGATTATTTAATATAAGCAACGTCAAATCTTTGCACTTAGGGTGGTATAAATAAAGGATGAAATTTATATACTCCATCTATTAATAGAAATACGAAACATTTAAATCAATTTTATCTATGCAGTTACTTATTGCCATTAGCAACTATACTCAATTTTAATTAACCTATAATATTTTCTAACTTCATATTTGACAGTTCTGGGTTAAAATCTAGTAATTTGTATCAATACGCACAAGGGGTTGTATAACTGAAGTAAGTTATATATCGATGACATCTGTTATTATAATTAAGAAATATTTTAAAGCTATATAGTCTAATTCAAATTGTATGTTTATTATTGTTTGAATCTTGTTAAGATGTTCTCTGTTAAATTCAAGAGAACAGAGTGACTCTGAGAGAAAGCTTCGTCTGGTGAAACAATAAAGAAATTACTTTTGTTTTTTTTTACTTTTGATATTTGACAGTTAAAATCTAGAGATTTTTATCAATACGCACTTGGGGTTGTATAACTGAAGTAAGTTATTTATCAATGACATCTGTTATTAGAATTAATAAATATTTTAAAGATATAGTCTAATTGAAATTGTATGCTTATTATTGTTTGAATCTTGTGAAGATGTTCTCTGTTAAATTCAAGAGAACAGAGTGAGTCGGAGAGAAAACTTCTTCTGGTGAAACAATAAAGAAATTACTTTTGTTTTTTTTTACTTTTGATATTTGACAGTTAAAATCTAGAGATTTTTATCAATACGCACTTGGGGTTGTATAACTGAAGTAAGTTATTTATCAATGACATCTGTTATTGGAATTAAGAAATATTTTAATGATATAGTCTAATTGAAATTGTATGCTTATTATTGTTTGAATCTTGTGAAGATGTTCTCTGTTAGATTCAAGAGAACAGAGTGATTCGGAGAGAAAGCTTCGTCTGGTGGAACAATAAAGAAATTACTTTTGTTTTTTTTTACTTTTGATATTTGACAGTTAAAATCTAGAGATTTTTATCAATACGCACTTGGGGTTGTATAACTGAAGTAAGTTATTTATCAATGACATCTGTTATTAGAATTAAGAAATATTTTAATGCTATAGTCTAATTCAAATTGTATGCTTATTATTGTTTGAATCTTGTGAAGATGTTCTCTGTTAAAATCAAGAGAACAGAGTGACTCGGAGAGAAAGCTTCTTCTGGTGTTTTTACGAGCAAAAAGTGTGCGCGGTGAAAGGAATTTACGGTTAAAATAGACAATGCGTTTTGCATAGATGTACGCGTTTAGAGACGGCTCATTTTCTCCGCTCGCGCACTGTTAAATCGTGCGTGAAAACATCAGAGAACCGCTGGTTTTCAGCAAATAACCATTTTGTTGCATTACTTCCAGAAAATTTAAATTTTCAACAAATAAACATTTTAAATTTTTCAAGTAAAAAACATCTTTGTTACTGTCCAACAATTTCTATAAAATCAAGTTTTTGAGAAATCATTTAATCGCTAATAAAAATAGACTTCAATTATGTGAAAAACTTTTCGCAACATTTTATAAATCTCGCGATGCGATGATTACATAAATCGGTTACAATGTAATTCTACAACTCTTCGTTCGGAAATCCGTTCGAGTTTTAATGGATTCGCCGAATCCAAATGGCTGGCGCCAGTTTTTCCGGCGAGTTTACCCAAGCCAAGTGGAAATGTGTTTTTCTCTCGCCTCTTTTTTTTTTGTTCTTTCTTTCTTTCTTTATTACATCCTTCCACTTTCCGGTCTCGTGTCTGCTTCGAAAGAATAAATAAATAAATAATACATAAAAAAAATATACTTCGCAGATTAAACAGGAATAAAAGCGATGCGAAGAGTGCTTTTAATTAGTTCATCGCGTGACCTAGAATCGTAAATTTTCGGTTTAACTAACTAACTACACCTTGTATTTAATTACTGACCTAAATTTGCAATAAAGCAAGACTTTGTATGTGTTTTGTTTTTATATTACGTTTGGGATAAAGAAAATCTTTATTTTTGTATGAAAATTAGGGAGGGCCGTGATTACATTTTGTTTGTTTTAATCAAGAGGGTTGTGGGAATTCTATTATTATTACTAATTAGATTTCTTATTAAATTTTCATTTTTTAACAAACGCTTTGTATTATAGATTACTTCAATTATGTTTATAAATTTAAAAAATAGTAAATTACATAATTATGTACATGTGGCGTCATCTATTGGAATAACAATTTTGTTAATTGGAAAACAGTACAATTAGGAAATGAAAAATAAACTTAAGAAATAAATAAAAAGTTCACGTAATTCTCTGTTTATTATTGCACGAAACTTTGTTATGCTTTGGTCTTTCTTTCTGTACGATTAAACGAGAGAGTTTATTTATTTATTCTCGGTACATCTTCGTAGCGCAATTGAAACGAAACTTGCGTCGATTTCGCAAACGATTTGTTTATTGTTTCGCGTTTCGGATGCACCGGGGCGCTTACGCAACGCCGATTGTTTGCGTTCGTTTAATTTCGAAAAATATTTATTGTTTGGCGGCGCGAAAGCATGATTTTATGGCGACATCGATCGACCATCACCTACGAAAACCAAAGCAAACGATAATTTCGTTCCATTTGCAACAAAAAACAAACAAGAAAAACAATGATTTTGACCTTAATTGTCGTTCAGGTTATTGGGTTAATTCGCTCAATTCTTCTAAATCATCTCTGTTTGGGCGGCGACGAGTCATTCTCTCACCCACTCATTCCATCGTTAAGATGAACTTAGTTTTTGAACTGAAATCACGAGAAAAGAGATTTTAATCACGGCTCATTAAACGAACGTTAAATATAACGACTGCTTCAAAATGTACCTTTCTCTCAATTAAAATCTAAGCCGGCTACAAGTTAAACCAGTTAAAGGTCAATTAGTTGTTTTCTACAATATATTTTATTGAAAATTTCATGTTATAAATTGAGAAACAAAAACTCAATTAATTGTTTAATATTTTTGAAATGTATAAAAATTATCACGTTTTCTTTGTTGAATTGTAGAGAACTATTCGCACAATGCGTTTATCTGCTGTGCCAGTTCTCATGAGTTTCAATTATGCAGAAAACATCACATATACATTATATTCTCATGGGACAAAGTGCACAGTTCTATATAATAACAATCATTAATCTAGAAACACTAGGATTTAAATAACAAAGAAATGGGTTATTCTTATGTTTTAGTCATTCTCATGAATTAATGTCAATTTTTTCTGCGATTGTTCATTTTTTTTATAGATTGAACTGTCAAGTTAATTAACGTTAATGATCAGATTTAAATTATTGTGAAGTTTTGTTTGAAAAAAATGTTCTTCAGCTTATAACAGGCAACTCGATGAAACTACAAAGATGTATGTAGGCGCGTTGGAAAGGTGAGATCTTCAGCTTTCATACGAGTGGTCGATGATGTAAGTACCTTTAGGGGTTGTTGAGAAATTTACGAAAACCCGAAAACACTGAAAAAAAAAAACGAGAAAACCGTCATTTCTCTGTTACGTATAAGACGTTAAGTATGTGTTTTTTTTTCAATTTCTACAGCCCATAGCAGGCGACTCGGTGACAGCACGAAGATGTATGTAGGCTTGTTGGAAAGACAAAATATTCAACTTTCATACGAGTGGTCGATGATGTAATTACCTTAAGGGGTTGCCAAGAAAATCAAGAAAAACTGTAAAAACTGAATAAAAATGATAAAAAAATGTTCTTCAGCTTATAACAGGCAACTCGATACAATTACAAAAATGTATGTAGGCGCGTTGGAAAGGTGAGATCTTCAGCTTTCATACGAGTGGTCGATGATGTAATTACCTTTAGGGGTTGTTGAGAAATTTACGAAAACCCGAAAACACTGAAAAAAAAACGAGAAAACCGTCATTTCTCTGTTACGTATAAGACGTTAAGTATGTGTTTTTTTTTTCAATTTCTACAGCCCATAGCAAGCGACTCGGTGATAGCACGAAGATGTATGTAGGCTTGTTGGAAAGACAAAATATTCAACTTTCATACGAGTGGTCGACGATGTAATTATCTTAAGGGGTTGTCGAGAAAATCACGAAAAACTGTAAAAACTGAATAAAAACGAGAAAAAAATGTTCTTCAGCTTATAACACGCGACTCGATGAAACTACAAAGAGGTATGTAGGCGCGTTGGAAAGGTGAGATCTTCAGCTTTCATACGAGTGGTCGATGATGTAATTACCTTTAGGGGTTGTCGAGAAATTCACGAAAACTCGAAAACACTGAAAAAAAACGAGAAAACCGTCATTTCTCTGTTACGTATAAGACGTTAAGAATGTGTTTTTTTTTTCAAATTCTACAGCCCATAGCAAGCGACTCGATGACAGCACGAAGATGTATGTAGGCTTGTTGGAAAGACAAAATATTCAGCTTTCATACGAGTGGTAGATGAT